ACGAGGTGGTGCGCAGCAAGCTCCTGGTGTCGCTGGCGCTGCTGGGCTCGGAGCAGCGCGAGGCGGCGGGCGTGCTGTACCGCACGCTCACGCACATCGACTCCATCATCCACAACTACGGGCTGCAGCTCAACGAGGGCCGCACGGGCGATGAGTTCCTGCTGCTCTTCACCATGGCCTCCAACCACCCGGCCTTCAGCTTCCACCAGAAGCAGGTGCTGCGCCAGGAGCTCACGCAGATCCAGAGCAGCCTGAGCAGCGGCGGCGGCGGCGGCGGGGGCCACGGCGGCAAGAGCGCGCTGCCCACCTGCCCGGCCTGCCACAAGGTGCGCGCCCTCAGCCTCTCCCCACCCCACTACCCCCCTCCCCCAGGGCCCCTCGTGGGCGGTCGCACCCGCCTGGCGCGCAGAGGCCGCCGGGGAGCCCCCTGGGCTGCGGGCCGGCGTGTGCGGTCAGAGTTCGCGGCCCCTTTGCGCCTTTCTCTCACGTCTGCGGCTGGACACGCGAGAACGCTTTTGTCCCCTTCATCGTCCCCTTGGGCGACAGGAGCTATACCTTGTGTCGCCTTGGTTTCTCCAAAATCTGGTGTTTATTAGCAGGAAAGGAAGCCGCGGTCGAGGGGGAGATGGGCGCGCTGCGGGGAGTCCCCGCGGCCTAGGTGTCCTTTCCCCGGTGGGGTGGTGGCTGTCCCGCGGGGCCTTGGACGCCCGCGAGACGGCTGTTTCCTGGAGGTCCTCCTGCCTTTGTCGGGGCAGATCTGCCTGAGTCCCCAGGTTGTTGGTCTCCTAAGGAATGTGAGGTTAACGTCTCCGTCTCCAAGCTAAGCAGGAAGGGCATCGTGGTCGTTCCCTCAGAAACGTGAACTTTCCTCTACATGTTTCAAAACTATGTAAACACCAAGCATTCGGGGCTCCAGCTCCTTTTTCCCAGCCCCCTGGGACCCAGTGCCAAAGCGGTGCAGAGAGAGGAAGGGTTTCTCTGTGACCCAGGGTGGCGTGTGTGGATATCACCCTGGGACTCTCCCTGGAGAGGTTGCTGTCGGCTCGAGTGCTGCCCGGTGCCTTCTGTACGGGGTCTGAGCTGTTTTCACCTAACACTCCTGTGCTCTCTGTTCTGCTGGTGGTGGTGTTCAGCGGTCTCTCAACCCCGGATTGTGGCTTATTTTTCTTCCGTGTTTTTCTCTAAGATGTGGTTGTGGTGCCTCTGTTGGCTTTAATCTAAGTCTTATCTGTTTTTGGTGGCGTTGATCTGAGACTGAGGTTTTTTTCCTAAATGTGTGTTCAAGTGACTCTGAATCGCGTGATGTGCACTGGGCAGGAAACCGGTGTTTCAGCTACAACAAAGGGAAAGCGCTGTGGTCGTCCGTAGGGGGCTCGGTAGGCTCTTGGGGTGCCGGTGGCATGTCACCTGTTTGTGGGATTTCAGTCCCTTGTGGTCAGTTCCACATGCTGTTGCCTTCTCTTTGGGTGCGGTGCACCAGCGTCTGGGGCTGTTTGTCCAGGCATAATCAGCTCTTGAAGGGGATTCTTTTGTGTGTGCAGACTCATCACTTGTCAGAAGCGGAAGATGGCGATGATGATTTTGGTGGGGCAGGCGCTAGCCCTGGAATGAAAATACGCTCTCGAAGAGAGCCTTTCTGTCTGGTGAGAAACTCCTGTGATGACATGAAGGGCTAGTCCGCCCCCACCCCTGCCCACACATGGCCAGCTGGCCAGCTGTGTGACCTTGGCCAGAACCCTCCGTCCTCCTGGTGTTTCCCTGCTGGAGTAGAGGTAGCTTACCTGCCTCCTGGGCTTGTCGGGGGGCTACGTGAGGTCACACTTGACGTGCCCACAGCACGTGCAGGGAGTGCAGACTTAAGCCAGGCACGCTGTTATGGAGTGAGATACTCCTGTCGTGTTTTGTTTTGTTTTGTTTTTAATGTTTATTTATTTTGAGAGAGAGAGAATCCAAGCAGGCTCTGCACTGTCAGCGCAGGGCTCAGTGCACGGCTTGAACTCGTGAACCATGAGATCGTGGCCTGAGCCAAAATCAAGAGTCAGACCCTTAACCCACTGAGCCACCCAGGCGCCCCAAGTTTGAGTTTGAGTTCATGTTTTCTAAATTAATTTTTAAGTAGTTGCTTGGAGCTTTGATCCATGGGAAATTGATCAATAATGAGGTTATGGTGAGTAACCTTAGGGCTGTTGCTTTCACATTTCTGAACAACCACGGTGCCTCGTTTTCCCCACCTCCCCTGTGTCACTGCTAAACTAATTTCAAGCACATTCATCTAACTTTCTGTTAAAGTTAAGGCCCGATGCACCCTTTGCTGCTTGGAGTCGGCCTCTGTGGTGAAATGGAACATTTGAGCGTTTTGCCTTCTTGGGGTCTCTGAATCTAACATTTTCTGTCGTCCCGGGAAAGCAGCCCTGGTAAGGCTCCACCTGCCTTTCTTTTGTCAGTGGTTGTATTTTGCTCTGAACCCTTTCGAAAGAAAGACGTGGGTTTGGTTTTTTCTTTACCTTCTGTAAAGTAGCAGTTCTTATAAGTATGTCTTCTGATACAGTCACCGTGTTGTTTAACAGTCCTCATTGCTCGGAGGACAAGCAGAAGGCGCTTAAGAGTGTGAGTGAGGTAAAGTCGACATTTTCACATTCGGGAAGGAAGGGCAAAGCCGGCGGCAGACTGCGGTAGCTTTGCGTGCCCAGTGGCCGACAGGTGCCGTGGGTGTGCTGGTCTGCAGCTCCTCCTGAGCTGGTGCTGGGGGTCGGCGGGACTCATACTCTCTTCCTGTTTAAGTGTGAAGCCATGGTTGTGGGAAAAGTTCAATTTTACCCTTCGCAGTCTTTCCTTTACATAAGATGATGATGTGTTATGGTATATGCTTATTTTTTCAAGTAACAGCTTTTTGAGATTTAATTTAAAAATCATACAATGTCACTGCTTCGAAGTGTACGCTTAAAAATAGTTTCTAATACACTTACGCAGTCGTGCACCCATTGCTGCTCTCTGCTTCCAGAACGGTTTCATCACCTCCCGAAGGAGCCCCGCACCTTTGTCGGCAGTCCCTGCCCACCCCCCCACCCCCCCCCACGCCCTACCTGCTCCTCTGCTTGGGCGGCCTGTGCTTGTCCCAGCCGTGTTGTACGAACACAGTCCTCCAGTGTGTGGCCTTCTGTGGTGGGCCTCCTTCACTTAGCACCACTTCTCAGAGTTTATTCCTGTTGAAGCATGTGTCCGTGCCTCACTGCTTTTTCAGGGTTGAATACTATCCGTTGTGTGGATAGACCCATTTTGTTTATCTGCTCATCGGTTGATGGGCACTTGGATGGTTGCACGTGCTCATTCTTAGATTTTGTTTCCTCGGGGCTAATAGGCTCTTGTTTTAATCCCTTACACCTAATGCTTCACAAGTCGTCTCTGAAGCACTGTCCACGTGTGGCTGTCCCGAGGGACCTCACTGTCTCCATCCAAGCCCGCCCGGTGGCTGCTTAGGCACCTTGTATGGCACCCCTCTTGGGAGCTGCTGTTGAAGGTCGCTGAGAACACGCTGCCCCGAGCCCCGGGCCCGGTGCTGTCGGGCCAGTGTGGTGGTCCAGAGCCAGCGGAAGCCTCCCCTCTAGCCGGACCGGGTGGGGGAAAGCTGCCTCCCCGCCCTGGTGTTTCGGAATCCTCCTGGCGAAGATCACAGCCGGACGACTTGCGTGACGTTGAGATTTCCAGGGGGTGCCGAGCCTTGTCGGCGTGCTCGGTGCGGCAGTGCGGTGGTGGTCTTCCTTCGGGCGTGTGTCCTGGGGTTTGCACCCAAGAGCGCTAGGGAAGGCACGGTGGACACCGGCTGCACGCAAATACTGCTCATAACGTCTCGCCTCAGGCAGGCACCAGCTGGCTGTGTTTCATCGCTTCCCTAAGCTGCTGAAAATCGTTGTAGTTCGGAGGTGGAGCATTGGTAGTTGGTGCCCTGGTTACCTTGTGAGGTGTGAGTGGCCGCCTCCGGTCTCTCTAACCTGACGCTCTGCCCGCTGTAGAGGATCTGGCATTCCACGGGAAGGGAGTGAGTCTGTCCAGAGCAGCTGCTCTTATCCCTGATGTTAAGGAGGAGCCGTGACCTGAAGGCACAGTGGTGGCTCCAGTTCTGCACTTGGCTCCGGGCGCTGATGGGGGTCTGAGCCCCGCATATGAGCTCAGTCTGGCCGCCTGCACCGCTTCATCTGTTACTTCGTGTTTGGCCAGCTCTCAGAGGCCCGAGGACTGCCTTCTTTTTCCAGTGAAGCGCACGCGACGGTCATTGAGACATCCTGGGAGGCAGTTTTACTTTGTGGCGGTGGTGTAGTTACTCATTGAAAACGCGCATCTGACCACATCTGCTTGGAGCTGCCGTGGTCCCGCCGTTGTGTGATAGGGTGACCCGAACCGCGGGGCCTTTGGTTACTGTCCTTCGACCGCCCCACGTTGGGGCTGTTGACTGTCAACTGTCATGTGCACAAGTTCATATTCCCTGCGTCCAGCTCCACAAACCTTAGTGCTGCCGCTGTAGTTGGTGTGGAGTTTGATTTACGTTTGTAATGAGTAATGTGGAGGTACTTACATGCGCTACAGCACGGTTACAGGCACTCGTCAACATTTGCCTTATTTCTGCGGTTTTGGAAGTTCACTAGTTACTTGGGCCTCATTTTACCCATTTCTGATTTTCTCTTCAGTCCTGCGTATTTCATCCCCCCTCCTTTTGGACTGAGGACGGTTGGGATTAATCTATTTTTTTCCTACCAACCAGGTTGTATGAGTCTTACATTTTTAAAGGCAAGCTAGTAGAAGGTACGTTTTTGTTTGTTTGTTAAATTGGTGGCTGCCGACCTCCCAGAGACCGTGACTCAAAATTTCTGTGATGTCTCGGGAAAATAGTTTATTTGAGTATTGTTTTTCTGCCTTGGATGGATTACATTTCAGAAAAAAGATCCTTGGGACGTTTCTCTTTTTTTGAGAAACCACCTTTCAGGACACCAGTTCTCTCATTAGTTTACGAGCCGCCTGACAAGTTTACAGGTCGAGGGTTTCTGATTCCCGACGCCAGCCTGCTGCAGGCAGTGCAGACAGCAAGGGCGACTCCCCCCCAGTCCCCACGAGGTCTTGTGTGTGGAGAGACCCGTTGTGTCTCAGAGCTACTTCCTGTCACAGTGAAAAAGCGTAATCAAGAGCTTAATAAAATAGGTTAGTTCTTTTTTTTATTACGGCTGGAGTTGATTCAGTCACTCTCTTGAATGGATGGTATAAAATAGGCTAATTCTTAAGCAGTTTGTTTTGTTCTGAGTTACAAGGCCTGAGGTGGTCTAGAGTGAAGACAAAG